CTCTCTTGGCTGGTTCCTGACCCCTGACTGCCTGGGTAGCCTCTCCACTGGCTGCCATGGTGCTGTCTGGAGGTCCTGTCTGAATGGTTCCTCCCCTGCCTGCTGAGCTCCAAGGGCTCCCACTGCCTGGAGGCCAACTCCCACACTCTCTGCTTGGCCACAGCAGACAACCGAGGTTTCCCCAAAGAGCCCATGACCTTTGGGGCCTCCACCTCTTAGCTCACTGAGCTCACCCTTCCCATGAGACGTGTTTCCCCTTCTCCATCCGTCAAAAGCTCCCTTGCCCTTCAAGTTCCTGCTTTAGGCTATTCCTCCTCCTTGAAGACTTAATCACTCCTCTCAGGCGCTCTCAGTGCATCTGAGGCTCCACAATGGTCCTCACTGCAGCCTGTTGTAGCACAGACGTTTGTTCATTCATTCAGCAGGCTGATTGAGGGCTTACTGTACGTCAGGTTTTGTCCCTATGACGCTGGGGACATGGCAGGGGCAGAGAGCCTTGGCCCTGCGCTCCTGGAGCTCACAGTTCAGAGGGGGCAGGGCTGGACGTTGGGAAAGGTGGAGTCTTGGGGGACATCAGGGAGGGTTTCTTGGAGGAGGAGATGGCTGAGCCAGGACCTGAGGATTGGAAGAAAGTGAACCAAGTAAAGAAGAGTGTTTCTGTTGTGCTCACAGTTCTGACTCTGGCCTCTGATGCCTCCTTTCCTTCGTCTCATTCATTCATTCAACACACATTCCATTGAGCCTGCTCTGGACCCACGGCTGCTCTGTGCCTGCTGGGGAAATAGCAGTGACTGACACCGCCTTGGCCCTACCTCGCTCACAATTCAGTGGTGGTGAGAATTTAATAATCACAGAAATATGTATTACAATAAGCCACAAAAATACAAATTTACAAACTGTGGAATGTACCGAGAACACAGTGAAAGGGAGGCGCCCGCTCTGGTCTGGCGTTGGGGTCAAGAAGTGACACGCTGGGAACAGGTCTGTCTCCCTCAAGGAGACTTTATGCACTTTTAACTTCATTTCTTGATTCATTTCTGACTTTCGAGCAGAGATGGAACTTAAGCACGCACACACACATACACCCTGGCCAGTCCCCAGGAGTAGCTGCTCTTGGGCCTTCTGTGGTCACTGCCCCACCTGCTGGTCACACTTGGAATGACACTTAGAAGTGGTTCCAGAGCCACTGCATTGGAGCTCCCCTCTGGGAGATGAGGGGAACCTGGATTTCCCTCCTGTGGGCCCCAGTTGGGCACCTCCCGATGTGTCCCCCTGTGTAGTCACTTTCTCAGGACAGATTTTGAGCTGACCCAGAGGATCTGTAAGCCTGAGTTGGAAATGACCCACAGCAAGCATCAGCTGATGCTTGCCCCTCCTGCCTGCCCATGTCATTAGCAGCGCAGAGTGCTGTGTCTGTGTCTGTGATTAATAAAGAATGGGAAAGGGAAGTCATGACTTTTTAATAATGCAGGCCATATGGGAGTAAAAGTCAAAACACAGGGCCCAAGGGGGAAAATAAATGACGGGGCAGTAGAGAAGTGCAGGCAAAGCAACGCGTGGGCATTTGGGATCCGAATAATCTGGGGTTCAAGTCCCAGCTCACCCACTTCCAAGAAGTGTGGTGCTAGAGGTTTTAGCTGCCCCCCCGACCCTCGCCTCCATTCCTTTTAGCTCTTTTTTTTGGCCACACTTCGCAGCGCAGAACTTCCCAACCAGGGATTGAACCCACGCCCCTGATGTCTAAAAAGCGGCACAATATTTTCTGATTCTCCTTTGAGAGACAATTACTATTCTCCATTTTGCAGACTGGTAAACTGAGGCTCAGAGAAGTGAAGTCACCGCTCCAAGGTTATCAGGTAGGAAGTGACAGAGGTGGGACCTGAGGCTTAGTGAGTGTACAGACACTGCAGTGGTCATGCTGGGTTGGAGCCCAATTCTGTGAGTCACCAAAACCTATCTTCTTCACAGCTATAAGACCAGAATTTTCCACAGGTATCCTGGCTTCTAAGAAGGCAGCTCCCATCTCAGACTCCACCGTTGTGACCCCAGCCTCAGCCTAGCCTTCCCACTGGCTGTCTCTGGCCTACCTGAAATCATCTTAAAAAAAAAAAGACCATTTACTCTAAAGCCAGGCAGCTGAGAGCATGGATGGACTGCTCAGGTCACATCTGGTTCAGATTCCAGCTCTGTCACTTTCTGCTTAATCACCCTGGACTAGTTCCTGCACTTCTCTGGGCCTCAGTTTCCTAGTCTGCAAAATGGGGACTAACAGCACCCAGCCCAAATGGTTGCTTGAAGGATTCAATGAGATCACGGAGGCAGAGCTTAGAAGACAGCCCGTGGAGTAGAAAGCACCCAATGGAGAGCAGCTCATGCCCCCTGGACACTCACTGTACCCAAGGCCTGGCTCCTGCAGGCTCACCAATCCTCGGCTGGCCCTGGTCAGTGGGTTTTCTTGGCCACATCACGTGGTATGCGGGATTTAGTTCCCTGACCAGGGATCGAACCCACGCCCCCTGCAGTGGAAGCATGGAGTCTGAACCACTGGACCGCCAGGGAAGTCCCGAGGTCAGTGTTATCACAGCCCCACTTTCCAAACGGGCAGAGAGCCGTCTACCCAAGGCCATGCACGCAGTTAAGTGCCCCGGACCCCGAGCTCTTACCCACAACACTCTACCATCTTTTTTTTGGTTGTTTGTTTTGTTTTGTTTGTTTTTTGTTTTGCGGTACGCGGGCCTCTCGCTGCTGTAGCCTCTCCCGTCGCAGAGCGCAGGCTCCGGACGCGCAGGCTCAGCGGCCATGGCTTACGGGCCCAGCCGCTTCACAGCATGTGGGATCCTCCCAGACCGGGGCACAAACCCGTGTCCCCTGCATCGGCAGGCGGACTCTCAACCACTGCGCCACCAGGGAAGCCCACTCTACCATCTTTACTGCACCAATTTCGAGCCACAACCAGATGGCAGAAAAAGGGGGCAAAGAAACTGGGGCTTTGGAAAAATGTGTCTCCTTTCCGCCACAGGAAGGGCCCTGAGTTTGAACCCTGCCAGGCTTCTCCATCCTCCCAAGGCCGTGTAAAGGTGAGCAGAAGCCTTTTTACTCCACTGAGCTGTCTCTGCTCGCCTCCTGCCCAGCCCCTGGTTGAGCGAGAGCAGCTCAGATGTTAGATGACGTCTATCGACCAGTGTTTGGTAGTTGGGGGCGGGGCCTCCCCTCCTTTCTTTTTCATATCCCCACTTACCTCAGGGAAGCTGAGGAGCTATCTATGGTTTGCAGTTGTTTGGGGCTTTTTCTTTCAAATCTTAGTCGTGTGCCCTCTCCAGGAGCTGACTGAAGCTGTGAGCTCAGGATCACGCCTCTTTTCTCCCCACCACGTGTTCGAACTTGGCACTCAGGGTGCCTGCTTGACACTGGTCACCTCTTGGCCGGAGCACCCTGTCGAGACCCCCGCCCCTGGCCTAGGCCCCCAGGGCCTGACCCTGCCTTCTTGTTCTCTGGGATGATGCTCTTCCTTCCCCCACCCCCACACAGCCAGGTGACCACTCACCTTTCAGCTTGATGCTGCCCGCCGCCCTCAACCCCCAAACTGGGATGTTCTTGTGACGCAATGGACCTGCCTCAGGCCTTCTCAGGCCTCATCTTGCAGTCATTCGTGTGACTGATACAGGCCCCCACTAAGGCGGGCTCAGTCTCTCTCGCACACGCGTGCAGGTCCCAAGATGTCCAATGGCGAGCACTCAGAGCTAACGGGCTGCGCTTCCAGGATAGAATCCTGCCCTCAACCACCCGGCAGTCTGGTTGGGATCTGAACTCTGGCTGTGCAGTGCTGAGGCCAAGTCTTTTGAGCGAGCATGGAGGACAGGCTCTTCGGGGGAAGGGCTCCAGGCCCTTGCAGGCAGCAGGCCCAGAAACCAAGACAAGAGCAGAAGAGCAGAGTCAGGTAGTCACTGTATTTTATTGGAAAACATTGATATATATTTTTCTTCACAGCTTGAACTGAACACAATATTGCCCGGTTTAAAAAAAACAAACCAAAACACTCCGAAAACATCCACAGCCTAACGCTTACCTGCCCTTACCCTCAGGTCTCGGCTGGGTCTCCCACTATGCCCCATCCCTCCCCTTCCCTCCCCCGGAGGTTGGGTGCCCGAGGGTGGGGATGAGAAGATTCTCAAAGCTGGGCAGGTCCCAGGAAAAGCCATTTGATCAACCTGGGGCTGGGGAGGGAGTGGAGGGCAGATGAAATGAACAGGGAAAAAAAAAAAAAATCCGGATGACCAAACTGCCCACATTGACTGAATTGTCCCAGAGGCGAAAATCAGAAGCAAGGTCACGGCTCATGCTCTCGGCGGGGAGTGTGAGGGCAGGCAGGTGGGTGAGGGCAGAGGCGGGCACAGAGACAGCACAAAGGTCAGGGAGCCAGCCAAGTCACCACAGGGGAGCGGGAGGGGCCGGCGGAGCAGGAAGCAGAGCTGCCCACGGGCCGCTGGTCCTCCAGGGCAGCTGGCCGAGGGGACAGTTTTATTGCAGGCATGTTCTCTTCAGAGTGTGGTGGGGCACATCTTCCCTCTCTCCACCCCTCAGCTAGCCCAGCATGGTGTTGGACAAAATTAAAGCTTTAAGGGGCATGAAGAAAAAGAAAGGATAACCAGCATATTACAAAGCGGCCATCCCCACGTCCATTCCGACGAGGGGACCTCGATGCGGGGGGACAGGGGTGTCACGAGGGAGCGGCATGGGATGTTAGCACCAGGTATTTACAGGACAGCTTGAGATCACATCAGGAGCACAGGCTGGACAACGTGCAGGAGGGTCCGGGGAGCAGCCCCGCTCAGCCCCACCTCAGGAAGCCAATCAGATGGGTTCAGAAGAGCAGCCAATGGCATCTGAGCCTCGACCACTCTCTCCAGCCCCTTCTATGAGCCGGCCTCCTCAGGTGGTAAAAGAATGCTTCTATGAGCCCCTCAGGTGGTAAAAGAATGCTGGCTTCCAAGCCTCCCTCGCCCCTTGACCCCCTCCTGGGCCACATCCAGTCAACACCACAACTCTGGAACCTCCCCCCCGCCCCCCGCCCTCAGTCCTTCTGGAATGCCTCTCTCGGCACCCCTGCCCCAACAGGCTGCTGGGATCGGCACAGGGAATCACAGGGCTGGTCGCATGCAACAGCGAAAGGCGTGCTCTCCTGCCCGGCCCTCGGAGGGCCTCGGCCCCTCCCCAGCAGGTCCCGGGACAGGGCTGGCAGCCACCCAGCACCCAAAATATAAGAGGACATATGAAAAGAAACAAACCAAGACGGACGAGAGCCACCCGGGCTGGAGAAGGAGGGCAGGCCCCGCCCCCACCCCCGCTAAGGGGACTGGGGGGCTCATCTTATGAATGCATCAGGCCTTAGAAGATGTGAATGGAAGGGGGAAGGGCAAAAGGAAGAGATGGCAGGGGCATGGAAGGAGACTCGGGAGGAAGAGAAAGAGCAATCATGCAGCTTGGGACAAATCTTTTGTTGCTTTATCAGATTCTCAGTCAATCAACTGGTGTTTGCTAGAACCGGGATACGCAGGGGAGTGTTGAAGACACGCGCGCGGGAAGAGAGAGATCAAGAGAACGGGCATCACCAGCTGCCCGGGGGCCTTCACTTTGCAGTCATCATCTGTACAAACTCTGTGGAGGGAAACAGACAGGGAGGAGGTCAGCCAGTGAGCAGGGCTCAGCCCCAAGCCGCACCCCGCACCCCCCACCCCACCCCGACCTGGGGGCTTGTTCCAGAAGCTCCTGCTGGCCCAGAGACAGGGGCCGGGTCTGCTCACCTTCGTAATTGACCTGGCCGTCTCCGTCGATGTCAGCCTCTCTGATCATCTCATCCACTTCCTCATCGGTCAGCTTCTCACCCAGGTTCGTCATGACGTGGCGCAGCTCTGCGGCGCTGATGTAGCCATTGCCATCCTGGGTGTCAGGGGACAGACAAAAGCTTTGAGCTCGAGGCATTCGCCCGGCTCTTCCCTGGGGGCAGCGGGAGAGAGGCCACAGTGCAGGAACTGACAAGTCACCCACACTCAGCAGGGGCAGGGGGGCTTCCTGAGGTGGCAGAGCAAGTTGGCAGCGGGGATGGCACTGGGGCCCAGGCCTCCTGGAAGTGCTGACTCCAGTTACACAGGGCATCCTGGGATGCCACCTGTTCTGCTCTCTGCCGGAGTCCCAGAGCCACTCTGGGAAAGGCCTGCTCACCTTGTCGAAGACACGGAAGGCCTCTCGGATCTCCTCCTCGCTGTCTGTATCCTTCATCTTTCTGGCCATCATGGTCAGGAACTCCGGGAAGTCAATGGTCCCGTTCCCTGCAAGGTGGGGAAGGGAGCAGGGATGCTCTGGGCCTGGGCCCTGGGAGACGAGCCTGGAGCCCTGGCAGAGGAGACACCGGCTCATCCATCACCGGAGGAAGGTTCCCTGTGGTCGTGAGGGTGACCGGGAGTGGGGCTGCCCACCCGCTCCACGGGGCTCACCATCTGCGTCCACCTCATTGATCATGTCCTGTAGCTCGGCTTCAGTGGGGTTCTGTCCCAGGGATCTCATCACTGTCCCCAACTCCTTGGTGGTGATGGTGCCATCTCCATCCTTGTCAAAGAGGGAGAAGGCCTCCTTGAATTCTGGGAGAAGAAAGACAATGAGTCAGAGGCCGAGGACACAGGGAAGTCCTGACCTTGGGAGACATGCGGAAAGAGTCAGGCCCACCTAAAGAAACCAGAACAAGACTTCAATTCCAGCCCAAGCCTCTTGCCTCTGTACTCAGGGCCGGACCCTTCCTTCTTTCAGTCAACACTTACTGAGCACCTGGCCTGTGCCAGGCAAAGCCGCCTGCTCTGTCCACCTAGCTCAGTGGGGACAGAGGGGAAAATGGGTGACAGTGGCCTTAGACCTTTCTACATTTCTTCTTGGTCCCTGGCTTCAGCCTCTTCCTCAAATGATGAAATGGACCAACGCCATGGAGGGGATGAGAGCCGTGGGAAGTCTCTATCTGAAGTATGCTAGCCAAGGCCAACTGGCTGGGAAAGGAAGGGAAGGAGAGGTGCAGGATGCCTCTGGGCGGCATGGCATCCCTCCTGACTGGTACCGCCAGCCCAGTTCCCTGGTTTCCAGAGGAGCTGAGCGCTGTGTATGGTGGAGTCTGGGGGTGGCCGGCAGCAGAGCACGGCTGACGGACGATGCGTGGGGTAGGTGGGGGGACGGAAGGAGAGGGGATGGCTGCCAAGCCAGGAGGATGAGGCGCTAGTGGCACTGAGTGGGAAGGCCACAGCTGGGGACGCATCAGGAGCGGGAGAGAAGCACGTGGCTCCTGCCCTCCCACTGGGCCCATTTCGGCACCTGGCTCTCCCTACCCCCAAACCCTCAAAGAACAGATGCCTGGCAGCCTATTCCCACAGGGCGTGGGCTGGGGTAAGGTGGTGGACAGTTTGCTAATGGGGACGGGGGGGGCGGGGTGGTGGTGGCGACGGGGGCGTGACGTGGAGCGTGTGTTTGTGTTACCCAAGGGCAGAGCGGGGGTTGAGTGTGGCAGGAGCCACATGTACAGCCGAGAAGCTTTGCCCCCGAGCCCCTGGGCCCTGGAGAAGCGTAAGAGTCTCCCTGGGGATGCTGGCACCGCCCTGTGCTGAGGCCTTGTTGTTCTCTGGGGGAGGGGGTCATGTGGGCACCCTGTGCTCATGATCACTAAACAACAAGGGGGTTCTCTGGCTTTCCTCGGTGGGTCTCCAGAGCCACCGGGGGCCAAAGTTTAGAAGCAGAAAGTGTGGGGGGAGGAGGAGGGGTGCGGGGAGGGGAGGAAAGGAGAGAAGGCAAGTCCATCCCTGTCTCCTCCCGCTTCAGAAGCTGGGCCTTCAGTACCAGTTACGTGGAGCGTGTTGAATGTGACAGCAAAGCTGGGGCTGGGTAGCTGCTGGGCCCCAGGGGCTACTTTGCGCCAGCCCATGGCTGTGGAGATTAACTGAGAACTGGCCTCTGTCCTCAGGCAGCACATCGTCTTGGGGCAGGGGGGGGGCCTCTGTCCTCAGGCAGCACATCGTCTTGGGGCAGGGGGGGGCCTCTGTCCTCAGGCAGCACAT